CATTACCAATGGAAGGTTCTTCCCTTCGGAATCACATCGGCCCCTTGGGTATTCACAAGAGTGACCAAGCCTATTGTCTCATACCTACATCGTCAAGGTCTTCACAGCGCTTTTTACCTAGACGACGGTATACAAGTGGATCCAGATCCACAGCGTCTCAGACTACAGCTGAACTTTATAATCAAGCTACTAACACAATTAGGATGGTTAGTAAATCTACTCAAGTCGGACCTAGAACCAAGCGCCAAGATCTGCAATTTCTAGGTATACGATTTCTAACAGCTCAGAATCGTATTGTAGTCCCGGAGGACAGATGGATCAAGATCCAACAACTTATTCCTCAAGCCCTACTCTCTCCGTTACCACTACGACAGTGGCAGAGCCTATTGGGACTACTCACATCAGCTCAAGACTTGACAGTCAGAGGCAGGCTTCAATTACATCCGTTACAAGTCCTCATCAATGCTCATCTCGAGGACCCTCTACCATTCAGTCTATCAGATTATGTCAAACCACATCTACTCTGGTGGACCAAGAGATTGAATGTTTGCGCAGGCGTCTCCTTAGTAGAGCCGGAATCGAACACACATCTCTACATAGACGCGTCACTACAAGGTTGGTTAGCCCACCTTGCTGGCAGGACAGCGTCAGGCCTATGGAGCAATCAAGAGAGCAAATGTCACATAAATCTGCTAGAGATGCAAGCAGTCATAAACGCCATAAGTCACTGGAGCAACATACTACAGAACGCTCAGTTGATGATTCACACAGACAATTCAACAGTAGCGTTTTATGTGAACAAACAAGGTTCAACAAGGTCACAGAACCTACTGACTCGATGTTTTAGACTGTTCGATTTAATCGACAATCTAAACATACACGTCAGAACCTGCCACATTCAGGAGCAAAGAATGTATTAGCAGGCGCTCTCTCGGCCACACCAACCGTCGCCGACAGAATGGATGCTCCACACAGAGATATTCAATCAAATAATCATGGAAATAGGATCTCCACTGATAGACCTATTCGCCACTTTCGATTCAACAAGCAACTGACAACATTCGTAGGTCGCCAGTGCCAGACCCACTAGCATGGGCAACGGGCGGCTCTAAGCATATCGTGGGAGAGACTCAGCGGCGTCACGCTTTCCGCCTCCAGTGTTGATCCCACAAGTCTTACAGAAAATCAGTCAAGCGCCAGAGCCTCCATCTGATTCAGTTCAGCCCTACTGGCCAGCAAGAACTTGGTTTCCAGATCTCATTCAAGTAATGGGAAAACCAATTCTTCAGCTCCCACAACGCCAATCTATTGATACATCCGCGACACCAAACAAGTGCACGAAACACCAGAAGCATTCCAACTTCGCGTATGGATTGTATCAAGGCATGTCTGAATAAGAGAGGTTATTCTGCCAGAGCTGCTAAAGCGGTCACGCTTGCACTACGTAACTCAACTCGTAACTTGTACGATGACAAATGGCACAGTTTTGTCAATTACGCTGCTAAGAAAGGATTTACAGCCAGATATGCTACACATCCTCAAGTGGCAGATTTCTTATGTTATCTACGGCAAACTAAGAATCTAAAGGCTCAACCTTGTCCACTTATCTTGCAGCTATAAGTTCTGTCATAACTATGCGAGCGAGCGTCAAGTTAACAAAACACCGGAGTTACTCACTTTGTTCTGGCGTTCTGATTGGAGGATCAGAAAGCGGAAGTTTCAGCTCCAGCCTGGGATCTAAATATAGTGCTCCAACACCTCACTAGTGAGGCTTATGAACCATTGCTATCTACATCGTTTGAATCACTGACCCACAAAACCTTATTCCTGTTAGCACTAGCTACGGCCGCCAGGATGTCAGAGATTCACGCTTTGGATTACGAGAGAACACGCTTTGATGATATTCATAACATCGCTCATCTGGGACTTCGCTGGGATTTTATAGCGAAAAACCAACTGCCAGGTCAACCAGACAGATTATTCCACGTCCCAGCTCTCTCATCCATACTTGGACCGCATGATACGATGGATCTATCACTATGCCCAGTGAGGGCACTGAAAATATATCTCCAACGATCCAAACAGAACAGAGGGAAATTCAAGAGATTATTTATCCCTATATCTACAGCTCACATGAGCGGAAGTCTCACGTACTCACGATCTCTATCTGGATCAGAACTGTCATACTACGTGCCTACAAGGCTGCAGGACTCGACCCTCCAAGAGCTTCTAATCCTCACGAAATTAGAGAGCCAGCCTCAACTCTCGCTCTACATGGGAATTGCTCGTTGAATACCATAATGGAGGGATGTTTCTGGAGATCCGATATGGTGTTTGCCAACCACTATCTGAGATATATCACCACCGAGGACGTCTCAGGTATCCACCATTTCGGTCCCATGGTCCTCGCTCAACAGTTGACAGTTCCACGGAGAAGATAAGTCTATCTTACAGATTTTATACTTATCTGATAACAGTACTAATAGCTACATGCTATCTATATATTTTGCTTAAGTTTAATTTATTATCTTAAGCTCAGTACTATGGTCTTTATATCATACTATATATAAGTTTATAACTCCTAGGAGTTTTGCTACTGTATATATATGTTCAGCTTAAGTTTCATCAATCCTTAAGCTCAAGTCATATGGTCATATGCATAAATGTATTGGCTAACAAACTCTAAGGAGTTGGTTACTATTATACAGCTTAAGTTATAATTATATCTTAAGCACAGTACTATACTATTATAGCTTAAATATATTAATAGCTTCAGCTTACATTGATGTTGTATATACTTTTATCATATTCTATAAATTGTAATAACCTTTATATGGCAGCTGATAAGTTAAACAGCAGGAATTCATCAGTTCAGTGCCTTTATGAAGTTCCCATAGGGTTATTACAATCATCACAGTTCAAATCACTAATTATTAAAATCCAAAGTATATATATTCCCACCTCCTTTTCCTTCGGATTCTACAAGCAATAAGCATGAGTCAGGATAAGGAAAAATATGAAATTTTTAGAGTAAAATTAATATTTTATACTTATCCTGACTCATGAGGTAAGCCCTCCCGTCCTCCCCACTTAACACTTTGGATTTCTTCGGAAAAATAAAGTGTCGGGCTCGAAACAAAAGGAGAGAGTGAGGCACATGGGTTCAGGTGGCGCCCTCGTTCCCGAGCTTGTGGAAGGGAGGTAACTCGTGGTGAGTACTAATTAGTGATTTTTTAATTGAAGGGAACTTCAATTGGGAGATACACGTGTTCCACTATGTTCGCAAGAAGAAGAAGACAAGCAATAAGCATGAGTCAGGATAACTATAAAATATTAATTTTACTCTAAAAATTTCATTATTTTCTAATAATTTAAATCATTTATTAATAAATGCAACCACTGACAATTTACTGTTGTCAAAATTATCAACTGAACTGTGGGGAATATTTTTTGCTTACTCTGGGATGGTATGCATCTGCTCTACATAAGGTACATTGTAAGATAAGTATAATGTTTTCAGCCACAGAAGTATGTTGCATACCATTTTGACATGACCCCATAGTCTTTAGCCACATGAACATGTAGGGGTCAATGTACAATCATGGTTTCTTCTGTCTCAAATAAAAGAAAGAAGAAAGGTTGTAAGGTTAAGATGCAAGTAAACAGGGATTGGGTGGTTACAATGAGTTGCTAACTCACTTGTCCATTGTTGAAACTTGACTATCAGCAGGTATACTTAAAGGTCACATGCAACGTAAAACACCACTTTGCAGATTCTGATACCTTTCGGTATGGACTTACCGAAACAAATCATCAAAAATGCAAATTCAACTTATAAAGTTGAAAAATAACGCGATGAAAAAAACCGCGCGAAATCGGAGTTCAAACGATTCACTAATTTTCCCCTGACTTTTCGGGGGAGAACTGGTTTCAACAGCTGGACTGCGTTCATAGCATGTGCGCAGTGAAATAGGTTCGCGCAACTTGGAAGCGGGCTGTCCAGTGAATACTCAGTGAAGGCTTTGGTGTGAGCTATTTTCCTAATGTTTTGTTGATATCTCACAGGCGCGAGCTTTTTATATGTTATGACAGTAAATAAACTGTTTATATAATTTCATTTGTCTATTTCACCACACGTTCTTCTTACCGAGTCACTTTCTCAGTTCGATACTTAAAAGCAATGTCATTATTTAGCGTTGACAGAATTTCTAACTGTGATATAGATATGTCGTTGTCACAGACAAAACTCAATGTCTTGTTTTATTGACACCTGTGTGTCTGCCTTGTGTCAGCCCGATCTGTCGACAAATGCCTGTCGTCTGCCTGCCTGTCTGCTAATGACAATATTCAATACACAAATGCGATCACTGACCACATGCAATTTGAACTTAACACCAATCAGGCTATACACCATAAACAAAACGCATTGATTTATGGCCCGAGTTCGGTCTCTGTCACATTATGTAATTACACAGACAGGTAGGTGTGATACTTGAACACATGACATGTTATGGTGTCTGTTGATTGCAAAATGTTATACACAAAAAATGAACATGTATTTACAAAACCCAACATCTCTATATATACACACACAATGAGCCGTGAAGGCGGCATCTGCTAATGAACCAGCCGTTACACTTGAGTGCACACCCACCCGCTCTGACTGGGTTCGGTATCCCGGCTGCTTCGTTTCTTGGGAAGTAAACCCAAGTACAAACAATTGCACTTTTGATTTGCGATTGTACGCTTATAATTTTGTTTATATGTTTTTTCATAACCAGCAATGTATATTATATGTCATGAATAAGTGATAATTGTGTTTTAATTATGTTTGATTTTTTGGTTGCATGTGACCTTTAAATGATCCACTAATAGGTCAAGGTTATCATCATTAAGTTGTACTATCATGAACTGTGATCATGGTGATGTGAAACAAGACTCATCTCATCATTGTGTATAGCCAGGTATAGAATGATTATTTCCGTGTATGTCTGTTGCAGGGAGGTTATCGTGAAGGCGTCAAGTCGGGGCAAGAAAGCACATTGCAGTCTGGTTTCAACGCTGGCTATAATCAGGCTGTCAGCATTTGTTTGAAAATGGGACATCTGAGAGGAAAACTCAGGTGATCATTTGTTGTGTGATATTTACAGATCATCAGGAAACTAAATAGTGTCTATTGTTTTAGTTTATAGTTTGCAGCTTTTACTGTCATCAACAAATGAATGCAAAAGTCCGAGTACACAGTTGTCTACATTGTTGGAATGCGTGATTATCTGTGTGATACAGGGTAATAAGATTTGGACCAGGTTTTCATTGTTGATAGTTTACTAAGTTTGTCAACAAAACTTTTGTGAGTATTTGTTTCAAGTGGATGTGATGAACAACTAGATCAAGGGATTTCATATTGACTCCTAGTTAAATGTAAAGGCTTATCCTGTGTTTGGTTTCAGTGCTCATTTGTCATGGAGGAGCAGAGATGCAACATCACCTGAAAGTGAAAAAAAGCATGGTGAAATAGAATTTCTGCTGAAAGAAATTTCGCAATTTGAAAAAGAATTAGTTAAAACAGCCAAGCAAAATACATCCTTAGTGGAGGAAACGACACCAGCCAAACCATTCTGTTCATCAGACAGTTCTAACATTACTGGACAGGATGCTGGTGATGATAAACACAAAGGGTCTGACTCTCCATGTGTCTGTGGTAATGACAAACGCTGTCCACAATCTGTAAATACTATGCCTGAAGCAAGTTGTGAAGAAAAGAAATCAGATCAAAGGGAAACAACTCTCCTGTGGTCAGGATCAGGGGTCCTATCCAGTGAAAATCCAATTCCAGTGTATAAGAATAGCTGTGAAGGTGTAAATACCGAAGCTAATGTTAAGTATGAACATTTCTTTAGAGAAGCAAATACACTGATTAATGAGTAGCTGATATCTTGGAATAAAATCCTGGGAAATGAAAGTAGCTCATCAAACAGCAGTTTCCAGTGTTTTGGATGGAAACAAGAGTCATTAGCAGATTTGTATTTTCACTGTCTCGTATATACTTGAGTTGATAATGGCACCTTGAATAATGGTCCAGTTATAGTGTTCACATTGTTCATCAAAGAACTTGGAGCTTGGAAGTCCATGATTGGCCACCATATGTATGCAGACAATGTTCAACTGCATGATGCCTTCAAACCAAGCCCTGTTGAGATAGACCTTCACCGTCTGTCCGAGGGCTGCAGTGAGATAAAAACGTGGATGTTCAACAACAACTTGAAACTCAGTGACACTAAGACTGAATGTCTTCTCTTTGAAACTGATGTCAGCAGGGCTCAGTCTTGCATCTCCACTTTTGATGTTGGTGACGTAGAGTTACCAGTTTCTGACAGTCATAGAGAATTGGGTGTCACAATTGACTCGGATCTTTCTTTAACCAGTCATGTCAACAATGTTGTGAAAATGTGTTTCCTCAAGCTACGAAACATTGGATCTAAGAAAATATCTAAATGCTGCTGTTATTTTGTCCTTTCACTGGTGATGTGCAGACTCGACTATTGCAACAGTCTCCTCTCTGGCGCTACTAAAGCTCAGCTTTACCACCTTCGACGTGTCCAGAACACTGCTGCGAGAGTTGTTACTCTAACACAGAATTTATTTCTAAATCCCCTACTTCGTTTTCAGATGTCTTCATCATACTGCACCATCTTATCTTCAGGAACTAGTAGAAATTTATACTCCAGGCAGACCCCTTCACTCAGGAAAAAAACCTGTTAACTGTCCCAAAAGTAGGAACATCACAACATTGCAAAAGAACTTTTACTTACACAGCATCAGTCCTACGACTCCTATGGAACAGCCTCCCACAATACCTGAGAGACTTGACACTTTTTTAGCTCATAACTTAGATCTATCTCTGCTCTCAAGCCTTTTCTCACTGTGGGCTGTGAGCATGCACTCAGTCATGGATGTGTGCACACTACAGGTGTTCTGTTACTATATCAAGGGATGTCAACTAGATGAAGAAGGAACACCCAATGTGATTTTAGTCCCATACCATACCACTCATGTGAAACCCATGACATCCAATCAACGTGATTCTTTTCCTTTTAAAAAATATCATCTTTAACTGTAAAATATCTAAACAGATGCCAACTTTTCAGTTTTTGCAACAGGAGCTAAAAAAACTTATGACCAGACAAAATATTCTGCTGTGATAAGTTCAAGAATCAACCACTTTTTCAAATTCTGGTCAATTTGCCACCTTCTGTTTTCTGAATGATGTTTGACAATGTGTATTTAAACATCACTGGAGTCCATGTACCAATGTAGAAAAAGAAAAAAATTGACCATGTGTATTGTGTTAAGAAGCCAAGAATCCTAAGTAGTAAGAATCTAGGGTTGAACAAGTGGAGAACAGATCACCTTGGACAACACAACCACCCTTGTCCCAAGCTTTTAGGAACTCAAGATTATGGGATCATATGAGTGAGTGAGTTTAGTGTTACGCCGCTTTTAGCAATATTCCAGCAATATCACGGCCGGGGACACCAGAAATGGGCTTCACACATTGTACCCATGTGGGGAATCGGGGATCATATGAAGAGATAATGTTAGTATTTATGTCATACATAAGATCCACAACAAGAATGGTATTCCTACACTCTACCCTTTCCTTGTCCACCTACCCAAACAACAGGTGTCTAATGTGGTCATTATATAACATGGGAAGGGAAACAAGTCCTACAGTTTTACAGAGGCAGTTGATAGTTCAAGAAATTCTCTGACCAGTCTGACTGGTAGATATTCAAAGATATTTTAAGTGTTTAGGCCTTTAATTCTAGCAAGCTAGCTGCACTGAGACAAGTGGAAATACTAAGTTTTAAAGAAACATATTCTCTATACAGAAAATAATTATGGCAAGCAATACTATGCTTGTTTCTTTAAAGGTCACATGCAACCCAAAAATCAAACATAATTAAAACACAATTATCACTTCTTAATGACATATAATATGCATTGCTGATTATGAAAAAACAAATAAACAAAATTATAAGCGTATAATCGCAAATCAAAAGTGCAATATTTTGTACTTGGGTTTACCTCCCTCGAAACGAAGCAGCCGGGATACCGAACCCAGTCAGAGCGGGTGGGTGTGCACTCAAGTGTAACGGCTGGTTCATTAGCAGATGCTGCCTTCACGGGTCATTGTGTGTGTATATATAGAAAGTTGGGTTTTGTAAATACATGCTCATTTTTTGTGTATAACATTTTGCAATCAACAGACATCATAACATGTCATGTGTTCAAGTATCACACCTGCCTGTCTGTGTAATTACATAATGTGACAGAGACCGAACTCGGGCCATAAATCAATGCGTTTTGTTTATGGTGTATAGCCTGATTGGTGTTAAGTTCAAATTGCATGTGGTCAGTGATCGCAGTTGTGTATTGAATATTGTCATTAGCAGCCAGGCATTCAGACACACTGGTGTCAATAAAACAAGACATTGAGTTTTGTCTGTGACAGCGACATATCTATATCACAGTTAGAAATCGTGTCAACTCTAAATAATGACATTGCTTATAAGTATCGAACTGAGAAAGTGACTCGGTAAGAAGAACGTGTGGTGAAATAAACAAATGAAATTATATAAAAAGTTTATTTACTGTCATAACATACAAAAAGCTCGCGCCTGTGAGATATCAACAAAAACATTATGAAACTAGCTCACACCAAAGCCTTCACCGAGTATTCACCAGACAGCCCGCTTCCAAGTTGCGCGAACCTATTTCACTGCGCACGTACTATGAGCGCAGCCAGCTGTTGAAACCCGTATTCCCCAGAAAAGTCAGGGGAAAATTAGTGAAACGTTTGAACTCCGATTTCGCGCGCGTTATTCTTCATCGCGTTATTTTCCAACTTTATAAGTTGAATTTGCATTTTTGACGCTTTGTTTCGGTAAGTCCATACCGAAAGGTATCAGAATCTGCAAAGTTGTGTTTTACGTTGCATGTGACCTTTAAAGTAGTCCAGCTAATGACTGGTCAGTGTCAAGAACCAAACAATAGTCTTACCTGGATCTCTTCTTATTTGTGTCAGTGTACAAAAACCTGAAGATCATGTTTTAGGTTGTCACAAGCTGTCTTTTGTAATGCTATTGTACTGTATTGTACTTCTTGATGTGTGGCTCTACAGGTTTGAGAATAAGTCAATGGATTATGATTCTTTCATGAAGGGTAGGTAGCATAGTGATATTCTTTTTTCAGAATGTTGAGGTTAGGTGAAGTGGGGTTTAACATAGTACTTATTTAAAGAATATTTCGCTCACATGACGACGTGCGTATGTATGTGTGGCTGCTTGTACTAGCCCAGATTTAAGCTGGTTTTATAGTGCTAGCTCACTGAGATACCATGCCTCAGTGAAGCATGAATACCCCACTCAGACACATTATACTGACTCCGAGCCGACCAGTCCTTTTTTAACCCATTAATGCCGCTAGGTGGGGAACAACAAGTACCAGACCAGTAGCATCTTGTGGTATGACGCAGCCAGGGCAGACGCTCTAACCACTACACCTTGAAGGTGTTATAAAGCAATTCATGCTTTAAAGGGTGAAGGGAACTGTTTTAAACCAGCTAGGGTACATATACCATAGTTTATAACATGTCTGTGTCAACAGTTTTGCACAACCCAGGTAGACAATTTACACTAAGTATCATTTACCTTAACAACAGACATTTGATTTGTTTGGTCAATTCCTAAATAAAACACAATATATTGGTTGTCAGCCTTAAGTTATGTTTCTGAGTGTTTTCTATTGCAGGTTCTTGTGTGAATAATATGAATAATATGTTTAAGTAAACAGAATATGCTATTAGTATGGTTTTGAAGAATCACTTGTAAATACTTTCAAGAGTACATAATTCCAGTTGTGAAAGACAAGAGCATCATTTGCTGGGAAGGGGTTGTAGTCAAATGGGTCGAAGGACAAAAGGGAAAAAAAGTCAAATGGGCGGAAATCTCTAGTCCAAAAGGCCGAAAAAGGACCAAAAAATAGAAATTATTTTTCCTTATCCTGACTAATGCTCTTTTGCTTGTCTCCTTCCTCTTGCGAACGTTAGTGGAACACTTGTATCTCCTATTGAAGCTCCCTTCAATAAAAACACGTAAAATCCCAACTCACCACGAGTTATCTGTGTGGCCCGGTTTGGCGGGAAAGCGGCGCCACCGTACTTCCATGCTTCACTCTCTCCTTCTTTGCCCTGTGGGCAGGTTGTGAGAGCGCCTGTGTCTCCTATACGGCACTATATCCTTTAATTACTTAGTTATTCTCCTCTATTCTACTTTTATAGGGGTTTAGTTAGTATTCTTCAACAATATGGTTTGATATTTAATCGTATTTAGCACTGTTTATTCACAGAATTTTCCGTGTTTGTTCAGTTATTTACATTTCATGAAAACCTATTTTCGTTGTAGGTTTAGGTTCGCTGCTGCAAACCCGCATTGACTGTGCCCTAGCTGCACAACAACATGTATTTCCAGCTATAGCTGTAATCTTTATCAGCATTTAACAGAAATTCAATTTAATAAATAATTTTTTTCTCTGTACTTAGACGTACTACCGACAAATCCAGGTGACTTTACAAGTCATGGATAAACTGGCTGAGTCCCTCACGAGCTGTCTACTGCTGTCAGACGACTTACTACCATCAAGTGACCTGCCGGAGGTGTCCTCGGAGGATGGGCGTGGGATGTTGTCCGCCATTACTTCGAAGACGTTGGCTTCTACATCGGACAACCCCTCAACGCAGACGTAGAAGAAGAAGCCATCCTCTACGCAGAATGAAGCCTCACACCCCTACGACGCCTAGCAGCTCTACGGGGACTCCTGCGCAGACTACAGGGACCTTTCGGCAGACATCGTCCCGATGGCAGTGAGATGACTTCATGATGAGCCGCTGCTGATCATCCAAGAGATACAGCACGCAGTCCGAGGGCGGCAGATGAGCGATCCCTGGACCATATCGCTATCAACGCAGAGAGGGCAGCTCTACAATCTACGCAGACGAAGAAAAAGAAGCCATCCTCTACCCAGAGAAGGCTACACACCCCTTAGATGACGACCAACTCTACGGGGACGTCTGCGCAGACTACAAGGACTTTCTCGTCCGAGATTGTCCCGATGACGGAAAGAGGACTCTATGATGAGCCGCCGCTCATCATCCCCGAGATACAGCACCAGTAGAAGCGGGCCTCAGCAACGGTAACGTCAGCGCAGTTGTCTACGCAGTCCGAAGTATCTACACTGACGGCAGATGAGAGATCCCTGGGCCATATCGCTACCAACGCAGAGAGGGCAGCTCATCTCTCACCGCAGACATTCAACCCGGGGGACTTCATGCGGCCCTGGAGATGATGGAGAGGGCGCTTCACACTGAGAAGAGCATCGCATGATCAACCACCAGCCTGCAGAACGGACCCGGACCTTCGCGAAGGTTCCAACGCAGACGATGCTTCAGAGAGGCGCTCCAGCTACGTGACGACCGGGAACAGATCTAACCAGCCTGCGCGAAGGACGACACGCCTATCCCCAGATGCTGAATCAGATGATTAGCATTCGCGAAGGCACTCGAGAAGGACGACACGCCTATCCCCAGATGCCGAATCAGATGATCAGCATTCGCAAAGGCACTCGCGAAGGACTTCGGACACAGCCTCAAAGACATCTTCAACATCGCATAGATCGTCGAGGGATTCACCTAGGCATTCGCGAACCAAGAGATGCTCACCTCCGCGCAGGTCTCCCCGCAGGTCGCCTTACAGACGCAGTTCACCCGGCTCCTCTCGACGCTGATCTACATGCAGGTCTCCGCTACAGGTCTCCGCGCAGGTCTCCACGAAGGTCTTCATGCAGGTCACCACGCAGATCCCCAGTGAAGCAGAGACATCGCAGTACTTGGTCTCTCAACTGAACGCTACATGCCATCAACAAGCCTTCGCGAGGCCATCTACAACGCAGAGATGCCGCAGTACTTAGATTCTCAACAGAACGCTACATGCCGTCACCGGCTACATGCCGCATTCGCCCAGGCCATCTACAACGCAGAGACGTCGCAGTACTCAGCTTCTCAACAGAACACTACATGTCGTCACCGAGCCTGCGCGAAGGCATTCGCACAGGCCATCTACAACGCCAGAGACGTTGCAGTACTTAGCTTCTCAACAGAACGCTACATGTCGTCTACAACTTGCGCGAAGGACGGCGCTATCTTCAGAGACCGTCAACAGATGATGAGCCTTATAAAGGATCTTCAGGCCGACTACCTACATCAAGGCATGAACGACGCCTCGCAGATCATCACGGGAATCACCATTTCGGAATATATTGCCAGGAAGGCAATCCCGGACTACAAGATGATTACCTACACGCAAAGCGCGATACAGTCACACCACGCCGACCACAAGCAGATCGCTACGCAGATCTTCAAGGTTATTCAACCAGGACACGAGGGCGACTGGACCTAGCGTCACCCTAGAAGGGAAAGATCTTCGTCGGCACACAGACTGAAGGGTATGTCATAAAGTTCAAGAGGGGTACTCTTGTCCGAATTCATCACCGGCACGGATCTTCAGACTGAATCCTGGACGGGATTCACATAGATTGATATATCTACTTAAGAAGACTCATGGCCTTACAGAGATCTTCACTTCCGTACAGATCTGCAGATATTCTCACTGGCGTGGTTCAACAGCAGCCTTGCTAAGGCTAGGTAACTACATACTCGTCAACGATTCCCTGAGTAGAATTTACAACAAAGTTCAGCATTAATTCTACAATTACGACGCTTCATTGAGATAGATGTATGCAGTCTACAAGAGCAGCACTGACAACGTGCAGATTTCAGCTGATCATCTGTATAAAGGGCGACGACATTATCTTCAGGACTGAAGGAACAGTCACAACAGCCAGGAAAACAGCCTACCTACATCAGTATTACGCGGCGAAATATTTCGCGCGTTTACCATTCAACCCTCGATACGCGTGGTCACTCGTGTAACTCCGGAAGGCTACGGACAAGACCAAGAGGTGATCAGATATCAACGGCGGCACTAGATTCTACAAGGACCTTTTTTCCTGCTACACCGGTGACGTCACAGCGCGGCAAGCCAAAGGAATCAAAATGCTTTATTTTGATTGGACCACGAGAGACAACGCCCTGCGCAGAGGTCGGATGTAGTTCACAGGTCAAGAAATGGGTTACAAGTGACAACAACATGTCAGCGAGCGAGGAAGGCCTCAATTACGGTCCAGTTAGACGGGACCTACGTGATTTGGCTGCCTTCACGAGGTTAGAGACCTTCCCTGTCATCATTGAAGACGATTCATCAGACGGCTTGCAGCAACATACGTTGGCCGGACTTTAGGTGACGGCAGCCCAACGACTTTATATAGACTTCACAACGATGGCAGTCACAGAGTCGGACATCGCTTCATTTCCTTACGGACACGGCAAGGGTTTCAAGATCGTAGGATATAGATACAAGTCCTTGTATCTCAAGCACTACTCTCTCTGTTATTACTACGAAGTGGCAGAGTCTGTTGGTTCCTCTCACGTCAGCACAAGACATGACACGCAGAGGGAGTCTACAACTACGCCCACTACAGGTCTTCGTGAATGTACAACTGGACCATCCGGACCCCTTCGGACTCCCGGACAGATTAAATCCATATCCAATATGGTGGACTCAGAGATCGGATGGTCGCAGACGCACCTATTTAGCAGAGCCGGGAGTACAAGACGCATCTCTATGTGGACGCATCTCTCCAAGATTGGGGAGCACACCTCGACAACGATGTGTCAGCTGGGATATGGACCATAGCAGAGAAGATCTGCACTTCCACATGCTGGAAATGAAAGCAGTGATAAACGCCATACTCCACTGGACCAGCATTTTGAAGAATGCTCATCTGAGGGTACATACAGTCACCTCCACAGTGGCGTTCTACATCCACAGAAGGATCGACAAGGTCGGAGAACCTTCTGGACCTCTGCTTTCAACTGGTCAGCATAACAGTCAACCTGAATGTCCACATCAGAGCATGCCACATTCCAAGAGCCAAGAATGTGATAGCAGATGCACTTTCCTGTCAAACGCAGCCATTCTCAACAGACTGGATGCTACATCCAGAGATCTTCAAGCAGATCATACAAGAGATGGGAGCATCATTAATAGACCTCTTCGCCACAAGGGTCAACTGATAACATTCGTCTCACCAATACCAGATCCACGGGCATGGGCAACGGACACGCTAAGCATCTCCTGGCAAGGACTAAACGCTTACGCGTTTCAACCACAAGCTCTAATACCGAGGGTGTTGCAGAAAATCAGTCAGACGAGAGACCTCCAACTACTTGGGGCGCGCGCCTTACTGCCCAGCGAGAATATGGTTCCCTATTCTCATACAAGACCTAGGACTGCCTCACCTGCAACTACCAGAGTGGACGAATCTACTAGTACATCCTCACTCAAAGCAGGCGCACGGCAACCCAGAGGTGTTACGGCTACACGTGTGGACTGTATCAAGGCATGCTTGAACAAGTGAGGATTTTCCGCCAGAGCAGCGACAGCAGTCACACTAGCTTTATGCAAGTCTACACGCAAATTGTACGACGACAAGTGGCGACGCTTTGAGACATACGCTTCGAGGACCGGCTTCACAGCCATGAAAGCGACACATCCTTTGTCACCTAGACAAACGAAGCGGTTAAAAGGGTCAACACTCTCAACATACCTAGCAGCATTGAGGTCAGTTATCGCCACGAGGACGAGTGCAACTGACGAAAGTACCAGAGTTACTGGCCTTACTACGCCCTTTTAATTGGAGGACCAACAACAGAGATTTAAAGCTCCGGTGTGGGACCTCAACGTAGTTCTACGACATCTCACTAGTGACATCTACGAACCATTATAGAGAACATCATTCGAGTTCTTGACGCAGAAGACGCTGTTCCTGATAACCTTAGCAACAGCAGCAAGGATGGCGGAAATACATGCTCTGGACTTCGAGAGAACACGATTTGATGAAAATCAAAACATCGTGCATATGGGACTGAGATGGGACTTCATAGCAAAGAATTAACTGCCAGGTCATCCAGCCAGACAGTTCCACGTCCCAACACTATCATCAGTCCTTGGACCACAGGATACGCAGGACCTATCCTTGTGCCCAGTGAGAGCATTGAAAGTCTACCTACAAAGATCCAGGTCCAGGAGACGGAAATTCAAGTGTCTTTTCGTCTCGATATCGACAGCGATACAGACGGAGGTCTTCCGCACTAAGATATCAAGCTGGATCAGAACTGTCATACTACGGGCCTACAAAGCAGCAGGATTTGATCCTCCAAGAGCCTACAACCCACATGAAGTTAGAGCTCTGGCGTCAACGCTCGCTCTACATGGGAATTGCTCTATCAGGACGATAATGGAGGGCTGCTTCTGGAAATGGGACATGGTGTTTGCCAACCACTACCTGAGGGACATCGCCACCGAGGACGGCTCTGGCATTCACCATTTCGGCCAACTTGTTGTAGCACAACAATTGACAGCCCCACAAAGGCGCTGAGACGGAGTCTCGCCCTTTTATCACATGACTTGCAAAAGCCTACACTCAGGAGAGTTCAGCTTTAGAGTCTATATGCAAGTCTAGGACAGACTAGCATAAGTGATATGACCCAGTACTTGTAAGGACATACTCGTACAGGAAAGGGTCGCTTCTCCACTTGATGCTCGCATCAAGAGATGGAGTTGCAAAATCCACATGAAATGTTAACAGAAGCAAGGACCAAAAGTTAACAATTGTGGTCCCCCCATCAGAGAAAGCTGGAAGTGAAGGGTTACAGCAGCAGCAGAGCCTAGCAGTAAAAGAAGTGCTACCATGAAGTTCCCATAGGGGGGTATGCAAGACGTAAATCACTACATGAAATCCAGAAGTAGCTTGACCCACCACCAAATCCGTCGGATTCTACAAGCAAAAGAGCATGAGTCAGGATAAGGAAAAATATGTAATTTTCTGAATAAAATTGATATTTTATACTTATCCTGACTCATGAGGTAAGCCCTCCCAACCTCCCCGCTAGACACTTTGGATTTCCCTGCAAATTAAAGTGTCGGGCTCATAATTCGGAGAGAGTGAAGCATGGGAGTACGGTGGCGCCGCTTTCCCGCCAAAACGGCCACACAGATAACTCGTGGTGAGTAGGGATTTTACGTCTGTTTTTATTGAAGGGAGCTTCAGTAGGAGATACAAGTGTTCCACTAACGTTCGCAAGAGGAAGGAGACAAGCAAAAGAGCATGAGTCAGGATAAGTATAAAATATCAATTTTATTCAGAAAGTTACATTAATGAATAACATAATGAAATAGAGTAAATAGTGTTCAGTTTGTTGTAAATAGTGTTCAGTTTGGAGATGTTAACGAATCGATTTCTTAATTAGATCAATTAACCTTGTTACAGGTGAAGAAGGCTGCATTATTTTTAAATCGTAGGTTGGCATCGCTGTCTGAATGTAAGGACATCAGATCAACAATTGGGCCCGTACAAGTTGATTCCTGCTCTTCACAAAGAAGCCAGTCTCCTGCCACTCCAAGAATGAACCTAAACTTTAGTGGCTCTGATACTTTAGTGCTTAAGAACTTTAAATTATGAAGTATATGTACTGCCATTCAATGCAAAGACATGCTTGGCAATTACCATTTTATTATTGTTATGATATTATGTTTTAATGCTATATATGTGAATAAAAAACGAAAAACATTTGTAAACATTATTTTTGTTCGGCCTATATGACTAAGAATAAGGCCCTTTTGACATTTTTTCACAGCCCATTTGACTTTCACCATGGCCCATTTGACTTGGCACTTCTCGGCCCATTTGACTAGATCCCGCTGGGCAGTTGGTGAATGGACAAGGGAAATAGTGTGATTGTTTGCTTTGGTAGATTCCAGATTTGATTTGTTTTGGTATCTCTCTCGAGAAAATGATAACGCGCAGAAGTGACATATCATTTGATGGCAATAAGGGAACTGTGTTACATGCGAGAAATAGACAACGTGATATGCGAGAAATAGACAACGTGATATGCGAGAAATAGACAACGTGATATGCGAGAAATAGACAACATGCTATGCCAGAAATAGACAACATGCTATGCCAGAAATAGACAACATGCTATGCCAGAAATAGACAACATGCTATGCCAGAAATAGACAACTGCTTTCGATGTTGTTAGAAAGATATTATTATATACCATTGTGGGGGAACAGCTTAATCCAGCACTTCCTGGATATACTGATCACCTATTAACTTCCCACGTATTGTCACCAAGTCAAGTTTACAGTCATGAGAGAGACATCCCCACACCATGACTGTATTTTACCAACGGCAACAGTTGGTTGAACGTTGTTAGCTACAAATGCAGTATATCAGTTACATGAAGAAGGAGTAGGCTTTTATCAGACCAATGTGTTAGTCGCCCTGTCCTCAGACTCCAGCATCACCGTGGTAAACACCAAGCCAAACGTGCGTGTTGGTCATGATTGTTCAGCAGAGGACGTTTGGTGACAAGTCTAAATTTGTACTCCTTAGTGCAAGAGACCCGGCGAAATGGTAACCAGTGGTGCTTCAGAACTGTACTTTAGGCGAATGGCTGTCGTCGAGGTAGCCTCAGTAGTGCCCTGTCTTCACCATCTGACGTCACTCTGGGTAGTCCAGACTGTGGGCTATCCTTCACTTATTGATTTCCCTGTGTTTTATGACCAAACAACTGACAATTATGTAGTGGACATTCATTTCCAGACCAAATACCAGAGTTATGCGTACCAATAATGTTCCATCCCTGGCCATCATATAATCTTCTACGTAGTATAGTGGCAGAAAAATGATTGAACATTGTATCCCATGCAGATTAAATACTGACTGTGGCACATACACAAATTGCACTTTTGTTTGTTTTTGTTTGGGCATTTTCCACAGGGCTTGTTTGGGAGACACACGTATACGAATAATTTCAACATTATTATCATACGTATCTCCATATACAAGCTGAAATTGAACATAGTTTCTTAAACCGTCAACATATTTAGGGGTGCATAACCCTTTTCCAAGTGGATATGTTCATTCAATATTTAGAGTTAGGGTCACAGAATCTTGTGACTGCCAAGTCACTGGTGTTACCTGTTTCCGGCACTTTGTGGTGTGGGCAGTAACTGGATAGTGTCTCTCAATGCTAATATTGTACGTCCGTTTTAGTTCCTTGTGTCTCCTCTGCTGTAAGATAGTTATACATGATGGAATGCAAAAATCACGTTTGTGTCCTCGGAGTGAGGTTACGGTCAGACATAAACGGCATGTTGGTTGCCTAATTCCCACACAGTTTCATCTTTGGTTCACCGATAAAGGCGTTAAATGTCAATCCACTGATCGTATTTGATCACACGCTCTTACCATGTCATTGAAACTTTGACATAACGAACGTTGTGAGACTTTAGGGTGAAAACAAACCGAATTACTGGATCCTATTCGTACAGGTAGTACTTCTTTCTACAATCCCATAGCTGTTTGATATGTTCTCAAGCAATAAACAAATAAACGAGAATTAACTAATAGCTGACTACAAACAGTTGGTTACCCAAACTTAGAGTGCGTTTCTAATAGTCAGGGTGACTTCATGTAATGTAACCAAACATAAATCAGCTACAGTGTCAAAAGAGTGCGTCTAAAAGCAATAGTTCCGGTTAAGATGACATCACCTTGCCCGACCCCGACCCCGACCCCGACCACGTGTAGACATTAACTTGATGGAAGTGCTTGGGGAACTTTGATCACCCCAGGGGACACAACTCTTCATACCTTTATTTCATCACAAATCCGTGCGCTCATTGCTGGGAGATTTTGCCAAAGTGTCTTTCAAAAATGTAGGTTTGTTTATTTTTAAAATATTTAGTAAGAACTGCCTGTACATAAAAACTGATTGAGAACACAAGCGATGTTAATGCGACATGAATATTTGGTCAAGAACAAATGATTGCAATTATAATCCAGTATATTCAATCTAATGTTTCCAAATGTTTCGCCCATAAATACAAATTAAATTATGTTCATATGACTCCAAAATTTTAATAACAACGTATAAACAAAATATTTCTGTCTTAGTTGTGTTTCTGTCAACCCCCCCTAAAAAATCTGTCATATACGCATTATTTCCGAGAAGCACAGACACACAAAACAATCAGAAACCTTTTTGCCCTGATCAGTTCGGTTATTTACAACATTTTTAGCTCTCTTCTTGTTGTCTAAAAGCGCTTCAGATCGCGAACATGGCTGCAGGGCAAAAAACCGATCTTCCGTTAAACGGTTAATCAAAGGATATTTACCGGACGAAATGCGCAGAATGTTTCACTTTACGTTCGATGGGAACATATAAATAATTCACCGGGAAGGTTGAACATCTGGTACGTTTACGGGCGATGAAGTTCACCGTGGATTCGTTGGAGCGTAGAATCTTCCACGAACCAGGTAGGAGGATACCAAACTCGAATCACTAAACCGGGAACGACCATGCTCTAACGTTTTCATTCACGACCGTTAGAAATGGGTCCGGAATTGGTGCATCCGGCGTTTATTAACGTTTCGATGAAATAACCAGGTCATCATGCGGATGAACAGCCCTGAACGTTTTACGCCTACGTTCGATGAAATTGCTACTCAATTCCATGAACGCTCGTTTATCGCGTTGCAGCGATATGAAGGCCTTTATGAATATGAAACACTTCGGAACATCTGCATTTTAAACGAACCGGTGTTTCAATGAATATGCAGGAAAGGGTTGAACATCAACGTTGCAAAAACGGTGCATTCCATCGTCGCCCGAACGCTGGAACTTATCGCGTTGCTCCACGAACAAAACAAAATGAACATTTTATCGCTTGCGACGGTTGAAATTGCCATCTGGTGATCACGCTATGAAGAACGTTAGAACATCGCTGCGGTGCGCTTTGCCGCAGGCTGGGCGGATAACCATCAATTCTCCGGAAGCGTTTATTTATCTAACGTTGCATGCCATTTGGTACGGTATCGCCTCCGAATCCATACGATAGAACCGACCGATATCTAACGTTTACCGAACCGGTACCCAGGCACCATGGAATATAGAAGAACATCCTAAAACGAACACCTCAACACCGACAAATTCGACCGCTACCTGAATCGCCGCGAACGTTGTTTCTTGCGGGCAATTTCGAAGATAAGTCGGGGTTGGCGTTACGCTGCGCGAACAAACGCGTCATAACACTGGGCATCGCTGCGAACGCATTCCATTTTGTCGAATCGCGAGGAACGATTGAACATCCTTTACGAACAATTACGAGAACCACATGGGAATACGAACAGTTGGGCAATACCGAAACGTTGTGCTTCCGCGACGACCGGGAATATAAATTCAGAAGAGCGTTGGAACACTTCCGGAACGCTGCGAAACTCAATTGATTTCATCGATCCACCATCGAAACGTTGAACATCCACTCGCGTTTGCTTCCAGACGATGAGAACATAACCAGATCGCCGAGGCGTTGGAACATCGCCGTTTTATGCCATGATGAGTACAAATTCGCCAGAACTCGCAAAGAACGATGAACATGCGAACAAAAGCTACGGTGAACAAATTTTATGATCTATCATGAAGAACGATTTGATATCCATGCGGTGGTTGAATGAAACGCAAGAGCAATTCGTTTTATCCTTCGCTGTTTCTTCACGATGGAAACACTGTCGAACCCTTCATGGAACGTTGGTATAACGTTACGTTGAACACGTTGAACATCCTAACGTTGAACATCCTAACGTTTACTTCACGAACAAGTACTGTCAGTCCTGTAGAGAACGTTGAACATCCTAACGTTTACTTCACGAACAGTGCAAGTACTGTCAGTCCTGTAGAGAACGTTGAACATCCTAACGTTTACTTCACGAACAGTGCAAGTACTGTCAGGCCTGTAGAGAACGTTGAACATCCTAACGTTTACTTCACGAACAGTGCAAGTACTGTCAGGCCTGTAGAGAACGTTGAACATCCTAACGTTTACTTCACGAACAGTGAAGTACTGTCAGGCCTGTAGAGAACGTTGAACATCCTAACGTTTACTTCACGAACAGTGAAGTACTGTCAGGCCTATAGGGAACGTTGAACATCATACTATAGGGAACGTTGAACATCATATTGTGTAGAAATGTTGCTGCTTGAATTTTGCAAAATAGTTCCATAAAAAGGGGATGGGTGATGCAGAATGGGAAAATAATATGGTTCAGGACTACGGTTTGACATCGGAGGGGGTTATGTTATGGTAACGTTTCGTGGTGTTTGGTGAAGACGAATTTGTTTTTCAAATCCAAACATTGTATGCGGAGTGGTTGATAGTATTACACCTGTGCTGTAAAATACGACCCAGGGTCCACATCGTTTGACTTTGCATAATAAGTGGCAGTAGACTGTATACTGTATACTCAGTATAGTGAGTTGCCACTGTCGAGTCGTCCTAACTATGGCGAGTCACGATACCATAACGTGTTCTAAGGATGTCAAGTTATGGACTTTGATTATATTTGGTGGAATTGGAATCACTGGACCGGGCAAACGCTGCAGCAGTCATCACAACCACTGAGGGACACTACGGACCCAAATAGTGAACGTGTACCGATCACCCTTTCCTGTGTTGCACGGACCCCAAAATATTTACAGATATAATTTTCAAGCGGCAGACAGTTGTTTGAAATGCACTACCTGTTGTACAGTCATCAGGATATAGATGTACCTCATGTGATCAAGTAACATCCCTCTATTTGACAAGAGCATTTTGTTGATCCTTGATGACGTAGTATTCCTTGTACTGAAGCAAGGTACTGGTTGACGGTGAGGCTGCACGGATGGCGTGACACTCGCGCAAGGTTAATCATTAAGCTCGGTAGTCACTGGAACCTTCTCATCACAATTACGTTTGGGCGTGGTTGTGTTTCTGTTTCATGAGACACGTTGTAACACATTATTTCCATCGAAATACTCTCCCGGTTACAACTACTATATGAAACAAACTATCTACATAATGTTGCCCCCCTTGAAAGTATATTTTTTCTGTGTGTAGAAGGTGTTTGTTTGGCTACTATATCTTGTCTCCACCCTTAACACCCGTAACCCCTCCTTTTGTGGTGGTCCATTTGATAAAGGGATTGTCGAACATAAACTATAAGGCATCAACTTTTACTGACCATATTGTCTCTGGGGACATACTTCCAGTTGAGCGTTCCTCATCACACATATAGACAACACGATACGGTGATTCTTAAGTCTTCGTTGATGTCCAATGGCGAGGAGCTTAGGAACACCTGTTCAGATCAGGGTTAGAATGGTCTTCAGCTACCAATGTTGTGTCTCAAGATAGGACTATATGCTTGTCCTACGTGGGGACTAACGGGATCGGATGGTCATACCCGCGGACTTGTTGATGCATGTCATCAATTGCGTAAATCGGTGCTCATGATGTCAGTTTATCACTGCCGTGTTTGGTCCAGAATTTACCTACCACACAGCTGGAATGTTGCTGAGTGAAGCGTTAAACAAACAGGCAAAGAAACAGCGGTGTATTCAGCCATATTGTAAGCAGGACTTGGAGTATCAGTCGTCTTTAGCGTAACGTCTGCGAAATAAGTATTGCTATAATCAGCAATACGATTAAAGGTAGGTTTCAATTGATATAAATGTGCGAACGGGAAGACATTTCAATCTATCCCAACCTGGTTTCGGACTTGACAGCAAATGTTCTAACGTGGCGTGTGAGCGAGTTAAGTAACTTGAGACCAACATCCGCAGTAGGTTTAATTAGAAGGAATTCCTGTGTAACAAGAAAAAATACGAAATAACTACAGATTTCATGTAAATGTTGAACAATTTTGGGCTGTTTTCAACATTGGTGTCTTCAATGACGCGTTTGGAATTACAACAGGGAAGAACTTCTTTCGCCATCGACGACCAGGCGCACAAAATACATTCCCTCGGGATACTTCAAACGACTAAATTTAAAGGGATAATGTCTATTTCCAACGGTCATTATCAATTACTGTGTCAACTGTTCCTATTCCCGTACACGTGTATTCCACCTACCCTACGCTTATGGTCCCAGTGATCCTGTGCCGTTCACAACCAATGTTGCCAGTGATCCTGTGCCGTTCACAACCAATGTTGCCAGTGATCCTGTGCCGTTCACAACCAATGTTCCCAGTGATCCTGTGGCGTTCACAACCAATGTTGCCAGTGATCCTGTGCCGTTCACAACCAATGTTCCCAGTGATCCTGTGGCGTTCACACCCAATGTTGCCAGTGATCCTATGGCGTTCACAACCAATGTTGCCAGTGATCCTATGGCGTTCACAGCCAATGTTGCCAGTGTACATATGGCGTTCACAACCAATGTTGCCAGTGATCCTATGCCGTTCACAACCAATGTTGCCAGTGATCCTCTGACGCTTACAACCAATGTTGCCAGTGATCCTATGCCGTTCAGAACCAATGTTCCCAGTGATCCTGTGCCGTTCACAGCCAATGTTTCCAGTGATCATGTGCGTTCAAAGCCAATGTTTCCAGTGGTCCTATGGCGTTCACAACCAATGTTGCCAGTGATACTATGCCGTTCACAGCCAATGTTGCCAGTGATCCTATGCCTTTCACAACCAATGTTGCCAGTGATCCTATGCCGTTCACAGCAAATGTTGCCAGTGATCCTATGGCGTTCACAACCAATGTTGCCAGTGACCCTATGGCGTTCACAGCCAATGTTCCCAGTGATCCTATGGCGTTCACAACCAATGTTGCCAGTGACCCTATGGCGTTCACAACCAATGTTGCCAGTGATACTATGCAGTTCACAGCCAATGTTGCCAGTGATCCTATGCCGTTCACAACCAATGTTGCCAGTGATCCTATGCCGTTCACAACCAATGTTGCCAGTGATCCTATGGCGTTCACAACCAATGTTCCCAGTGACCCTATGGCGTTCACAGCCAATGTTGCCAGTGATCCTATGGCGTTCACAGCCAATGTTGCCAGTGACCCTATGGCATTCACAACCAATGTTGCCAGTGATCTGTGTTGTTCACAACCAATGTTGCCAGTGATCCTGTGGCGTTCACAACCAATGTTGCCAGTGATGCTATCGCGTTCAGAACCAATATTGCCATTGATCCTGTGGCGTTCACAGCCGATATTGCCACTAATCCTATAGCGTTCACAAACAATGTTGCCAGTGATCCTATAGCGTTCAATGCCAATGATGCCAGTGATCCTATGGCATTCACAACCAATGTTGCCAGTGATCCTATTGCGTTCAAAGCCAATGTTGCCAGTGATCCTATGGCATTCACAACCAATGTTGCCAGTGATCCTATGGCATACACAACCAATGTTGCCAGTGATCCTATGGCATTCACAACCAATGTTGCCAGTGATCCTATTGCGTTCACAGCCAATGTTGCCAGTGATCTGTGTTGTTCACAACCAATGTTGCCAGTGATCCTGTGGCGTTCACAACCAATGTTGCCAGTGATGCTATCGCGTTCAGAACCAATATTGCCATTGATCCTGTGGCGTTCACAGCCGATATTGCCACTAATCCTATAGCGTTCACAAACAATGTTACCAGTGATCCTATAGCGTTCAATGCCAATGATGCCAGTGAACCCATGGCATTCACAACCAATGTTGCCAGTGATCCTATTGCGTTCACAGCCAATGTTGCCACTGATCCTATGGCATTCACAACCAATGTTGCCAGTGATCCTATGGCATACACAACCAATGTTGCCAGTGATCCTATGGCATTCACAACCAATGTTGCCAGTGATCCCATTGCGTTCACAGCCAATGTTGCCAGTGATCCTATGGCATTCACAACCAATGTTGCCAGTGATCCTATTGTGTTCACAAGCAATGTTCCTAGTGATCCTATGGCATTCACAACCAATGTTGCCAGTGATCCTATAGCATTCACAACCAATTTTGCCAGTGATCCTGTGGCATTCACAACCAATGTTGCCAGTGATCCTATGGCATTTTTAACTAATTATCGGGACAACCATAGCGTGGAACCCTCTAAAACTTTAAGGAATTAACGTCAGATGAAGATATACAACATTAGGGGTTTGTAGAGATATACAACAGTATGTGTCTGTAGAGATTATTGGATCAATTTCTGCCGATCAATTGCATGCAAAATATCGACCTGGGATGCATATACACAACGAAGGAATTCCTGGAACATGATGCAACAATTCCCACGATGATCAGCACGGAGTCACGTCCCTTCTGCCAGGAAACAACTATCTGTCACGTCGATTTCTGTCCCAAGAGTCACGTTCGGGATTATGTAGCATATGACATTGAGACCATCCATGATAATATCAGACATAAATGAAATTACATCCCTAACCAAACATATTTGGGTTTTCTTAACGCACTTTGTTAACTGACAATCGGTCCAATCGTTGATTTCCAAGAAAATCGTCGGGACTTACAACAGTAGGGTCTGTAGAGCTGCACAACAGTTGAGGACTGTAGAGGTATACAACAGTTGAGGTCTGTAGAGATATACAACAGAAGGTGTCTGTGGAGCTATACAACAGTAGGGGTCTGTAGGGATATACACCAGTAGGTGTGTGTAGAGCTATACAACAGTTGGGTCTGTAGAGATATTCAACAGAAGGTGTCTGTAGAGATATACAACAGTAGGTGTCTGTAGAGATATACTACAGTTGGGTCTGTAGATATATGCAACAGTAGGGTCTGTAGAGATATACAACAGAAGGTGTCTGTAGAGCTATACTGACTGACTGACTGAGTTTAGTTTTACGCCGCTTTTAGCAATATTCCAGCAATATCATCGCGGGGGACACCAGAAATGGGCTTAACACATTGTGCCCATGTGGGGAATCGAACCCGGGTCTTCGGCGTGACGAGCCAACGCTTTAACCACTAGGCTACCCCACCGCCCCGTAGAGCTATACAACAGTAGGGGTCTGAAGAGATATACAACAGTAGGGGACTGTAGAGATATACAACAGTTGGGTCTGTAGAGATATACAACAGAATGTGTCAGTAGAGATATACAACAGTTGGGGTCTGTAGAGATATACAACAGTAGGGTCTTTAGAGATGTACAACAGTTGGGGTCTTTAGAGATATACAACAGTAGGGTGTCTGTAGAGATATACAACAGTAGGGGTCTGTAGAGATATACAACAGTAGGGGACTGTAGAGATATACAACAGAAGGTGTCTGTAGAGCTATACAACAGTAGGGGTCTGTAGAGATATACAACAGTAGGGGACTGTAGAGATATACAACAGTTGGGTCTGTAGAGATATACAACAGAATGTGTCTGTAGAGATATACAACAGTTGGGGTCTGTAGAGATATACAACAGTAGGGTCTTTAGAGATATACAACAGTAGGGTCTTTAGAGATATACAACAGTAGGGTCTTTAGAGATATACAACAGTTGGGTCTTTAGAGATGTACAACAGTAGGGTCTTTAGAGATATACAACAGTTGGGTCTTTAGAGATATACAACAGTAGGGTCTGTAGAGATATACAACAGTAGGGTTTTTAGAGATATACAACAGTAGGGTCTGTAGAGATATACAACAGTAGGGTCTGTAGAGATATACAACAGTAGGGTCTTTAGAGATATACAACAGTAGGGTCTTTAGAGATATACAACAGTAGGGTCTTTAGAGATATACAACAGTTGGGTCTTTAGAGATATACAACAGTTGGGTCTTTAGAGATATACAACAGTAGGGTCTGTAGAGATATACAACAGTAGGGGACTGTAGAGATATACAACAGTTGGGTCTGTAGAGATATACAACAGAATGTGTCAGTAGAGATATACAACAGTTGGGGTCTGTAGAGATATACAACAGTAGGGACTTTAGAGATATAAAACAGTAGGGTCTTTAGAGATATACAACAAGAGGGTCTTTAGAGATATACAACAGTAGGGTCTTTAGAGATATACAACAGTAGGGTCTTTAGAGATATACAACAGTTGGGTCTTTAGAGATACACAACAGTAGGGTCTGTAGAGATATACAACAGTAGGGTTTTTAGAGATATACAACAGTAGGGTCTGTAGAGATATACAACAGTAGGGTCTTTAGAGATATACAACAGTAGGGTCTTTAGAGATATACAACAGTAGGGTCTTTAGAGATATACAACAGTAGGGTCTGTAGAGATATACAACAGTTGGGTCTTTAGAGATATACAACAGTAGGGTCTGTAGAGATATACAACAGTAGGGGATTGTAGAGATATACAACAGTTGGGTCTTTAGAGATATACAACAGTAGGGTCTGTAGAGATACACAACAGTAGGGGATTGTAGAGATACACAACAGTAGGGTCTTTAGAGATATACAACAGTTGGGTCTTTAGAGATATACAACAGTAGGGTCTTTAGAGATATACAACAGTTGGGTCTTTAGAGATATACAACAGTAGGGTCTGTAGAGATATACAACAGTAGGGGATTGTAGAGATATACAACAGTAGGGTCTTTAGAGATATACAACAGTAGGGTCTGTAGAGCTATACAACAGTTGGGGATTGTAGACATATACAACAGTTGGGGTCTGTAGAGATATACAACAGTTGGGGTCTGTAGAGATATACAACAGTAGGGTCTCTAGAGATATACAACAGTTGGGTCTTTAGAGACATACAACAGTTGGGTCTTTAGAGACATACAACAGTTGGGTCTTTAGAGATATACAACAGTTGGGTCTTTAGAGATATACAACAGTAGGGTCTTTAGAGATATACAACAGTAGGGTCTGTAGAGATATACAACAGTAGGGTTTTTAGAGATATACAACAGTAGCGTCTGTAGAGATATACAACAGTAGGGTCTTTAGAGATATACAACAGTAGGGTCTTTAGAGATATACAACAGTAGGGTCTTTAGAGATATACAACAGTGGGGTCTTAAGAGATATACAACAGTTGGGTCTTTAGAGATATACAACAGTTGGGTCTTTAGAGATATACAACAGTAGGGTCTGTAGAGATATACAACAGTAGGGGATTGTAGAGATATACAACAGTTGGGTCTTTAGAGATATACAACAGTAGGGTCTGTAGAGATATACAACAGTAGGGGATTGTAAAGATATACAACAGTAGGGTCTTTAGAGATATACATCAGTTGGGTCTTTAGAGATATACAAGAGTTGGGTCTTTAGAGATATACAACAGTAGGGTCTGTAGAGATATACAACAGTAGGGTCTTTAGAGATATACAACAGTTGGGTCTTTAGAGATATACAACAGTAGGGTCTGTAGAGATATACAACAGTAGGGGATTGTAGAGATATACAAGAGTAGGGTCTTTAGAGATATACAACAGTAGGGTCTGTAGAGCTATACAACAGTTGGGGATTGTAGACATATACAACAGTTGGGGTCTGTAGAGATATACAACAGTTGTGGTCTGTAGAGATATACAACAGTAGGGTTTTTAGAGATATACAACAGTAGGGTCTGTAGAGATATACAACAGTAGGGTCTTTAGAGATGTACAACAGTAGGGTCTTTAGAGATATACAACAGTAGGGTCTTTAGAGATATACAACAGTAGGGTCTTTAGAGATATACAACAAGAGGGTCTTTAGAGATATACAACAGTTGGGTCTTTAGAGATATACAACAGTAGGGTCTTTAGAGATATACAACAGTTAGGTCTTTAGAGATACACAACAGTAGGGTCTGTAGAGATATACAACAGTAGGGTTTTTAGAGATATACAACAGTAGGGTCTGTAGAGATATACAAAAGTAGGGTCTTTAGAGATATACAACAGTAGGGTCTTTAGAGATATACAACAGTAGGGTCTTTAGAGATATACAACAGTAGGGTCTTTAGAGATATAAAACAGTAGGGTCTTTAGAGATATACAACAGTAGGGTCTTTAGAGATATACAACAGTAGGGTCTGTAGAGATATACAACAGTTGGGTCTTTAGAGATATACAACAGTAGGGTCTGTAGAGATATACATCAGTAGGGTCTTTAGAGATGTACAACAGTAGGGTCTTTAGAGATATACAACAGTAGGGTCTTTAGAGATACACAACAGTAGGGGATTGTAGAGATACACAACAATAGGGTCTTTAGAGATATACAACAGTTGGGTCTTTAGAGATATACAACAGTTGGGTCTTTAGAGATATACAACAGTAGGGTCTGTAGAGATATACAACAGTAGGGTCTTTAGAGATATACAACAGTTGGGTCTTTAGAGATATACAACAGTAGGGTCTGTAGAGATATACAACAGTAGGGGATTGTAGAGATATACAACAGTAGGGTCTTTAGAGATATACAACAGTAGGGTCTGTAGAGCTATACAACAGTTGGGGATTGTAGACATATACAACAGTTGGGGTCTGTAGAGATATACAACAGTTGGGGTCTGTAGAGATATACAACAGTAGGATCTTTAGAGATATACAACAGTAGGGTCTTTAGAGATATACAACAGTTGGGGTCTTTAGAGATATACAACAGTTGGGTCTTTAGAGATATACAACAGTAGGGTCTTTAGAGATATACAACAGTTGGGTCTTTAGAGATATACAACAGTAGGGTCTGTAGAGATATACAACAGTAGGGTTTTTAGAGATATACAACAGTAGCGTCTGTAGAGATATACAACAGTAGGGTCTTTAGAGATATACAACAGTAGGGTCTTTAGAGATATACAACAGTAGGGTCTTTAGAGATATACAACAGTGGGGTCTTAAGAGATATACAACAGTTGGGTCTTTAGAGATATACAACAGTTGGGTCTTTAGAGATATACAACAGTAGGGTCTGTAGAGATATACAACAGTAGGGGATTGTAGAGATATACAACAGTTGGGTCTTTAGAGATATACAACAGTAGGGTCTGTAGAGATATACAACAGTAGGGGATTGTAAAGATATACAACAGTAGGGTCTTTAGAGATATACATCAGTTGGGTCTTTAGAGATATACAAGAGTTGGGTCTTTAGAGATATACAACAGTAGGGTCTGTAGAGATATACAACAGTAGGGTCTTTAGAGATA